AAAAAAAAAAAAAAAAAAAAAAAAAAAAAAAAAGACGTTCCAATGCCTCTATGCCTCTCAAGTTAAAGAAATCTAAAATAAAGATAATTCAGTTGGCACAAAAGTCTGCATACGGTTCTCAGCAGTACAGTATCTGTACTCCCAAAACATGTTTCCTTCTAAAAAACATCCAACCTCCATACTTTTGCAACTGAAGGCATTTCTTGTGACACTAATCCACACCACCTACTATCACTTCAGCAGCAGACCACATTGCAATGTATGAGAGGGAAACTGCAAGGCACAACACTTTGCTCCTGTTTCCCCAGCAGGACCAGCAGCCAGGCCATTATCCATCACAAAGTCCACCAGCACAAATCTTCAAGGCACTTGGAAAGCAAAACACTGCACACACCCCAGGCCAGAACCCTGTCCAGGCTATTTATCCTGGGAGTGGCTTGAGGAGGAGGGATGTGACTCCCCCTCTCTGGCTGTGCTGCTGGCAGGGGCAGGCATGCCTTACCCAGACTCCTTGAACCACAGCAGCCCCGCAAGTCTGTGGCTGTTTTTGGCTGCCAGAAGCCAAGGGAGAAGAATCACTTTCTTTTTAAGAAGAACTACTTTACTTCTGGGTAAGTGCACCAGTGCTTCCTCTTTATGTGCACTAACCTAACTGCCTACAGTTACCTGAGTCAAGAAGGAGCCAGATACAGGAGGAAATTGGTACAGGAATGAAAAAAAAAATGGTCAACAAACTATTCCAGGCTGTGCCTATCAGGAAATTCTGGATACTTTGCACTAATCCAAGCAAGGCTATTGTTCCTCTGTAGAGAAATGTGATGCCTTAACCACCTCAAAGTTCTTTGTCAATAGCTTGTAAGAGAAATGCCATGGCCATGGAGCTGCCATGTGAGAAGGGGGCACAGATAAATTACCTAAACCAGCATCAGCATAGAGGCTCTTTTCTGGTGCTCACTGTTGCACAAATAGAAACAGTACTTTCAACAGCTGGAAACACTGGTCATTAAAAAATTAAAATTGATCCTAGAGTGCAACCTTCAGCCAAAAAATTACCAAGATTTTGCAAACCAGGTGTGCTGTTAAACAGTTTGGGAGGATGGACAGAGTGTCAGGCAGTCAAGAAACACCAATGGAGGAGAGGTCTGGGTACACAAAGACAGGCACTTCTCAGAATTCTCCTCTACTTTCAACAAAAAATAAATCGAGGCACCAGACATTCAGATATTCCCTGTCATGTGTACCAATACATCAATGAAAGTGCAAGAATGCACAGGCAATGCTTCTACGTGTTTTAAAGAAACTAAGCTTGAAACATAAAGGAAGAAAACTAAAATTCAAGTTCCCTGATGTGTAAGTAGAACAGCAGCTCACATTTCCTTAAGAGAGCTTTCTTCTGCTCCGGGAATAATTTTGTATTTCTATCAAAGCAACTCAACAGCCTCACACCTGATGATCCAAAGTCATTCAGTGCCAACACAGATTTTGCCATTGACATCTATGGATGAAGCCTTAAGCTTCTGCATTAGCGATGAAGAAAATCACATGGGGGAAAACATGAAGTGTGTAAGTTCAGCCCTAATGCAGCACTGCTGAGTGCCACATCTCTACAGCATCATCTTGTGACACCTGGAAAAGTCAGAAAAGTATCAGATGCTACATAACCACTGCCAGTTGAAACTATTAGTTCTCAACACCCTCATGATTAAGCATTTCTGCAGAGCAGCATTCTCCATTCAAATTAGCAAAACTCCTAAGGTAACAAATGAGATATACCCAAATTGAAAGCAATCTTAAAGAAAAGGACATGGGAAGATGGAAAAAGAAAAAAGAGAAAACACATTTTATTTTCTCAAAAGTTGGTTTTCTTTTCACCCTACTAAAGAGATAGAGAAAATAATACAGCCTATTGTGAAAGCTGAAGCATTAAAATGCACAGCATATAAAGAACTAATCCAGTAACTAAAGATGCTGGAGGGATCAAATATTGATTGCTCTATCCGTCCGTCAGTGAAACAGTTGTATGCATCTTTCCCCTGGCATTATGTGTAGCAGTCACTCTTCAAATATCTCATTTATGGATTTAAGCTGAATTTAAGTGTCCCTTAAATTACATGCACTTTTCTTTCTGAAAAGGAGGAAATTGCACTTATGTAGCAAATTCTAATTTTGTAAGGGAAATAGTAGTGAAAAGGACAACCACCACACAGTACCTGTTCCCACTCTCAAATTCTGCCACACATCCTTGAGCATCACCAAGACCATAAGTGACGGCCTGTGAAAAGTTCCCCACTCAGCCGTTATGAGAGGCGAAAGAGCTGCACTCAATTTTCCTCTGCATCCATATGATAAAACAAAAACAAACCAGATACACAGCAGCAGTGCTCAGTAAGTGCTGGCAGGTCACCACCTAGAGGTGCTCCAAGCCAGCTCTTCTGCCATCTGGAGAAGGCAGCTCACCTCAGAGTGCTTAAAATGCTCAGTACTCAAAGGGAAGATGGTGGTGGTCTCCCAAAGGAAAAAAGCTGCTCAGAAGAATTACTTGTCTTTTGATTTAAACCTCTGAATATGAGACAAAGCAAGCTCAACATGGAGGGGCCACTGAGAAACAACTAACTATCCATTAAGGTTATTAAGGGTACATCACAGTTTTATCAAAGTGAATTCCATGTAAGTACAGAGCAGAGCAAAACACTTTCTTCAACAGCCTCTCCTGGATTCCCCAGATAGCTTAACTGCATGACACTGTAAGACCAAGTTAAAGACAGATTTTTATTTTTTCCCATTTTTAAGCAGAGAAAGAATTGTATTTTAGTTACAGTCTTCTAGAGCCACTGATGAGAACCACATGACCATAAAGTATTTGCTCACAGTGATAAGATGGTCTGTTACTCACACGTGGAGCTCACATATTAAAGCTGGGTGGGTACGCAGAGTAGTCTTACTTTAATTTTGCATTTTCCATGTGTTTCAGCTCAAAAGCTGTTTAACCTTTCGACCCTCAATATTTGTTTTGAAGAGCAGAGGAAGAGAAAGCAGACACCAGCCAATGTTTTCCTCTCTTCAACCAGCACAGCTACTGCTAAGTTCTCAGAACAAGGTTTATTGCAGCCAAGGGTCTAACTACTGCAATCTGTAACGGGGAGTGATAAAGACAACACCACACTGATCATGCAGCAGTACTTCTTAGTACTCCTAAAAAACATTTCCTTGGTTATTTGCCGTACAAAAAAGGAAAACCACCGTTCATGTACAGCTGCACAGGATGAGACAGTATCAATCTATTCTGGAGCAAAACAGCATTTAATTTTGTGTGGTTAATATTTAATAAAAACAACAGTAAAACACAGGCCTATCAAGTTGCTTTTAAGTCCGAGCACATATCAGTTAAGGAAAAACAGGCGGCACGCCTATAGCCAGTAATAGCAAGCTGCAGGGCAGAGCTTCACTTACGCCTGTGCACACAGAGTATTGCTTCAGTCCACTGCTGAAATTGCCAGAAATATTATTTTAGTGCTGTGTAGCCCATCCTCGCGCAAGAGTAACACACAGCCCAGGCCGCCAAATTGAAACATGACTCCCTGACCTGAGAGTGATTCATTTTAGACCAAATGGTACAACACACCAAACCTGACCTAGCATGCAAAAACTTTCTTTGAAAAGATAAGAGTTGCAGCAGTTCTTAGTAGTAAAAAGATTGCAGCTACCCCAATTCCCCCACACTTTGAGAACACAAGTTACCTACAGGGTCTCCCCCAAATTATTTTGCCTTGCAACTTCAGAAAACCCCAACCAAACAAAAAAACAGCCAAACAAGCAAACAACAACAATTAAAAAAAAAAACCAAACCAAAACCACAGAAAACCAGCGCAAAACTAGAGCAAATAAGGATGGAAAAGAAATAAAAAAGAAGAAAGGGAGGATTTAGGCAGCTTCTAACATTCACAGACAACTGAAATCATGAAGGTGTGAGCTCGTTTCACAGAGTTATCCCCAACAAAATTAAATTTAGACATTCCAACATTTTTGTGATAATGAAAACTTTTCACATATTTCCATAGGAAGCAGTTTTTTGGGATGGTTCCCACTGTGGAGCTATTTAAAAAGAACATAGGAAAAGAAGTTAGAGGAAGAAACTTGGTCCCTCTGGTTCCACCTCTGTCTTCTCACTTCAGTTTGCTAGCAGCTTTTGTCCTCTAGTTTCCCTCCGGTTTCCCCCACTCCCGGCCTTTCTCTAATAAATCACACCCCTATGCTTGTCATTCATCTTCTCCCTGTCCTTTACCTTTGTAAACACCGTGGATACACCGACACTGCTCCCATCGGACTTGAGCAGGCTCTTCCGATGGACTGAGGAAGTCAGAAGACAGAGGGGGCAACCATTCTTTATCTAGGACTTTTTCCACTGCCTTAATTTGGTATAAATAAATCCAAAGAGTTTTCGAATGGGGGGGGGGGGGGGGGGGGGGGGGGCGGCCAGGAGGAATGGGTGAGGAAAGGAAAAAAAAAAAATATATATATAGAAAAAGAAAAAAAGAAAAATATGAGTGCAGACCCTAAGTCCTGTTAGTGTTCCTTAATCAAACAAGTACCCATCACTTATTCCAGGCCAGCCCCGGAGATGTTAGTCCGGCAGGAATAGCAGCCTGACCCGACGCCTCGAACCCCTCGATCCCATTCCGCAGGAGCGGGAGAGGGCCCCCGACAAGGCGCGCTGCCCGCACCCCACTGCGCGCCGCGGGACTCAGACCAGGTTCGGAAACACGAGAGAAAAAGCCAAAGAGAGGAGGCGAAGGGCGCCGCGGGCACGGAGCCCTCGGGCAATGGGAAGCGGGCACCTTTTTTCAGGCGAGAGCGGCGGGACCCCCGCCCCGCTCCGGGGCCCGCCGCGCTGCGCTTACCTGCGGGGGCTGCGCGGGCGCGGCTGGAGGGAGCGCGGCGCCGCCGCCGCCGGCGCGCACAGAGGGAGGGAGGGAGGAGGGAGGAGGGGAGAGAAGGAGAGAGAGAGGGAGGGAGGGAGGAATGAGGGGTGGGACGGGGAGGGACAGAGCAGAGCGGAGCAGAGCGGGACGGGACGGGACGGGACAGGCTCCCTCCGCCCCCGCTCCGCCTGCGCGCCTCCGCCGGGCGGGGCCCAGGTGTGCCCGCCCCGCCTGCCCCGCGCACCCCACGCGTGCCCGGCTTGCGGCCGCTCGCTCCGCGACAGACCCTGCCCGCCGCCGAGCACACCTCGGAAAAGGGCGGCGGGTTCGGGCTGCGTGGCGGTGGTATGCAGGTGTTTCGGGAGCAGCCACAGTTCTCGTCCTGGGAAACTTTCCAGTATCTTGCTGTCGTCGGCAAGAGCCGTTTGGGAGCCCCAGTCATAGGAATAGTCAACTTGCAGGTTCACCGAGCAGTCATCCTTGGAAGGGGACACGGTTGCACAACAGGTAGTTTTCCAGATTAGAAGAACTATTTTGTTATGCAAAACCAGGTTCAAATTACTTCTTCCCCACCTCCTGCCCCATAAGTTTTTCCAGGGAAATAGTCTGATTTCATTGGATTGCTGGAGCATCTAGAGGCCACTTTTGCATATACATGCATCAAGTGAAAACATGTATGTTGCACAACACTTAGAGTTCAGTGGCTGAAATGGCCAAGCATTTCTAACCCCTGAAGTGAGATTTCTAGAGAGGTTACCTATAGCTGTATAAGCCATCAGTGCCTCCAGCAGCACAAAATCCTATAATGAAGCACCAAGCCCACTTAAAGCATTCATATTTTTCAAGGAACCAGAAAGCAGCACAGAAAATTCTGAAGTCTGATCTTTGCTTGTGTGCCATCAGCACAGCGATGACACTGTCTACTATAGCTACTGGCAATATCTGCTTCACCACAGGTATGGTTATTAACAACGTTTTTGGCATCAGTGAAAGCATGTCTCTTGCTGTCATGGCTGGTGAGATGCTTTCTCTTTTGGAAGAAGTCATCACACAGACTTTGCTTTTGTACTCAGCATTGTAATTTTGCTTTTGAACTAGACTTCAACATGCTGAAAAGTTTTGTTAAGTATTCTGCAGGCTATTAACTTTGGAAAGTGCTGGGATTTCATCTTCTACCTGTTCAAATCAGGCTACCGAGTGTTTACAAGAGGTGACCAAAAAGCGTGTTCTGTTACAAGCTCTAATAGATGGTTTAGCATCTACACACCAAGTATGGTGGCATGTCTTAGTAGTTTTCTCACTTATGCACAGGCCACATCCTTGCTGGACAACTGCAGTCTTGAAGCAGTGTGCTCAAACTGCAGGTGTCCTCCCCTCCCCTGGTGGTAGAAAAGGGATGACATACACGAGTCGCTGATTAGAGAGTGGGTCTTCAGAACGTAAAATTGATTCTTCCAGCCCTGTGGCACTATATCTGCTGTAGCATCATTATAAACCAGATTCTACTCATCTTTTTGGGACACAAACTGCCTGTATATGTCTACAAAACATGTCCTGTCCTCAGCCAGTTGCCCAGATACCACTATAAGAACCAAGATTAACTTGAAAGCAATCAAAGCTTCAGGCAAAAGGTGGTCTGAGTAGATTTACCTCTCTGTGGGTGAGACTTACACCCCTCAGGCATGCAGGAGTCTCCTTCAGTAGGACAGTGCTTGCTGCCAAGAACTACTACATCTACAAATTGGAAATCACCACTGCTTAGCATCCCTATGGTTACTCAAAAACTGCTGGTTAGGATGTCCTCTACAGCAGCTCTAGCTACTGATCCCTGAAGGAAAACAGCAGAAAATAACAGTCCTGAGATAATGGGAAAAGGCTGATCTGCACATGAGATGGAATGACATGAAGGTAAAATTATTGCAAGCATTTTAAAGAAAACTATTTTTGAGTCCACTTTAAGCAAACTGATATAGTTAAAGAATCAATGTTTTTTCAGTTCTTTTGTTTTCTGTTAGTGACTTCAGGCATGCTTGCTCAGCCCTGAAACACTGACTTCTCATTTGTTCAAGGATAATGTCATTAATTCTCAGTCAGCCACTCTTACTCTAAATAGAAAATATAGGCAATATTCAGTAAATCTTACAAACAGGCAAATATTGAAGGTCCAGGGAAGATCACATGGCCTGACGTTTAATGAATGTAACTGCTATGAGACTTGGCTGTGGTGCTTTGTGGTCTGAGACGTGTTTATGTAATCACACACAGATGTACTGAATTGCATTAGATAGGAAAGTAGTTTTCACATCCTTCAGTCTGGAAAAACTTCTGTTTCCAGAACAAACCATGTAAGTTCCGTTTGCTCAATTTAGTGAATTGATTCAAATCATAAGTATGCTTAACATATGCAGACGTTGATATATTTAATTCTCAGCATTCATACAGTTTCAACTGAGTGGCTGCAAGGTTAGTCATACAAACCCAGAAAAGTTAAACATCTAATTCCTCTTCAGTCTGGGCCTGGAAAGTACCTCTGGTGTTTTCAATTAAAAAAAAATAAAAAAATCTGGGAATTTACATGTAAGATGTCTCTTCACTCTGTCACTTCTCTATGCAGCATACTCTGGTGTGGGTAGCAATGGGTAATTTCATTTTGGATTGGAAATGTGCTGAAATTTTCAGTGCAGTGGATGCTTTGAATGAAACATTTAATGAGATCACTACTAATTCCTGTGGAAAAAAATTGCATGCTTCAGCACAATCAGAGATAGGAATAATTAGAGACCTTGAACAGTATTTTCACTTTTTATTGATCAGCTTTCATTTCTTGGAGTCCCACCATTTGTAGTAGATTGCTAAAGCATGTGTACATCACAAAGAACGGCTCCAACAATTCACAAAGAATAAAGCACTATTTGGAGTTTGACTTTTTGCTCATTTGTTACATATATACTGTCTGAAACCCCAGTGCTCACATGCTAGGGATCTCCGTTCAGAACAGGATGCAGAGGAATCTGAGCAAATAACATTACCTGCAGTCAGAAAACATGCTGTTTTCCAGAGAAACATCTCACAGAAAGAAAGCAACCCAATCCAAAAAAGCTATGTCATCTTTGTTATGTGGCAGTCCTGCCTTGGTGCAGTCTCCTCAGTGCTCCTGCTATGATGCAGCAGCAGTGCCTGATGTTCTGTGAGCACAAACTCCTCTAAAACTTCTGAGTTCTCAAGGCAAAAGAGCCACTTTTTCCATGGAAACTCACTCTCCCTGGTTCAGCCTCCTGTTGTCCAGACCTGAGGATATCCTAATCCTTCTGAAGTGTAGCAGATTGCTGAAAAGCGAATGTGACCATAGTGCTCCTGGAAGCCAAGGTTTGGCTCTCCATGGCTTTCTGCCTGTGCCCTAACAGCAGGACTGCAAGGCCAGGATTGAAGGAAAAATGAGTGTGCATAAGTGCCTGAGCATGGTGAGGATTAGGAATATATCCACAAAAGAAGAGGAGATGGTTGATTCTCATAGCCTCTATGTCAAAATCTAGATCAGATCAGGCTGTTTAGACAATGCCTGTGCCAGAAATAAGAGCGGTGTCTGTCCAAGTGACCAGGGCTCAATGCTCTTTGTGAAAGAAGGTTTGGATTTGTCCTGGCACTTGCAATATCCATGTTGCCCTGAGATGAGTGGACTAGGGTTTGCAAAATGCTTCAGGTAATTACTGCCAGAGCTGCAAAGGAGTTCCATGCATTAGTGACCAATCCATTAGCAGCTCATATAGAACGATAAACCTCTGTGTTACTGTTTAGGAGTCTTATGAATCACATGCTGTGAGATGCACAGATGGCTGTGTGAAGCATACAGTGTTTGTCTGGGGCAGGCACAGGGCTGAAGGTTTCCAGGAGGCTCCTGGATGGGAGGCCAGGAGGCTGATGGTGGTGGCTTCACTGTGGTGAGGAAGGCGAGACAGTGAGGAGGAGCTAGGGTTTTGTGAGTGCAGGCTCAGGGGTGGCTGCAGGCTCCGTGGAGGGAAGGCAGCAGGGAAGGCTGGGCAGGCATCTCCCATGGGATGGCTGCAGCATTGAACAATTCCACGTGTCCTTCAGCTCTACAGAACACCTGCACTGGAGTCTGGGGCTGGGTCACCACCCCTGTTTCAGGGAAGCTCTGCGTTTATGCTGCCTGAACACTGCTACTCATTCAGCCTTTTGTTTCCAGGTTGTTGAAAAAACATTTGTTTGTAGGGTGCTAAGGGATTTGTTCTGATTTGTCTTTTCATCAAGCACACGGCTCTGGTCTGCCATGAGATGACTAGAATCCCCCTTCTCATGAGGATACTGGGAAATGAGGAAAGCTTTACCTCCAGCAAGTGCAGCGGCAGCTGTTGGGTTCATCACTCCAGCACCTACCCCTTTGGCTATAACTGCAAGGTCCCATGAATATAAAATCCTCCTCCAACAGTGATCCTTAGTCAACAGACACATCTAAAATCCGTAATTTAGCCTGTGCCTTTTCATCTTGAACTGGATGATATTTGTTCAGCAATAAATTGAATGCCATACTCTGTCATAGGATTAAAAAAATAAATTGCTCAGAAAACGTCACATGGATGCTTCTGTACTCTAGATAACTTTGCACATCAGTTTGGTCTGTTTAAGTGCCAGGTCTTACATGGAGCTCCTGGACTGAGTCCAGCAGAGGACAACAAAGGGGCTGGAACATCTCTCATATAAAACAAATGAGGAAAATTAAATGGGTAAATAATGAGGGAGCTGGGCCTGTTCGGCCTCAAGAACTGACAACTGAGAGGGGACCTCTTCAGCATCTATAAATATCTGAAGGGATGGTGCCAAGAGGAGGGAGCCAGGCTCTTCTTAGTGGTGGCAGTGGTGCCAAGCCATAGGACAAGAGTCAATGTACAGAAACTGATGGTCAGGAATTTCCACCTGAACTTTATGAAGAACTTCTTTACTCTGTGGGTGACTAAGAACTGGAACAAGCTGCTTGGAGAGGTTGTGGACTCTCCCTTACTGGAGATATTCATGA